TATTAAGAAAACATCCCGGCCCAGTCCAGATTGAGTCCATAAGGCCTATACTAGTCCATAAATCCCTCTTCAGACTCATGAAGTAGAAGCAATGATGCAGAATGCAGGGCGATCACAGGCCAGTGAGTGCAAGATCTTGTGGATCCAGTGGCGATGGAAGCATCTCCAGGCCTCTTACGGGTCTCAGCATGGCTCTACGTGGCTTGTCCACAGGAAGGTGAAAGCAGAGATTGAGTGTGTGGCCTGCGTCCAGAGAGCCATTTATCTCGGTCGACCTCCAGTCAAGCTGTGACCTGATTGACAGGCTAAACTCCACCCCTTTGATCTTAATACCTTCAAGTTGACATGGTATTAGGTAACTACCACAGGTAGAAAGCTAGGCAAGAGCTGGGCGGGGCTTTCAGCATTTGTCACGTGGTCAGAAGGGACTCTCTGGGTGGTGCAAACCATTAAGGGCTCAACCACTAGCCAAAAGGTGGTCAATTAGAACCCACGTCAGAAGACACGGCTGGTGATCTGCCCCTGCAAGGAAGTCTTCATGGGGGTCTGGGGGCTCAGGACACTTAGGCCAATTTCCATAACCTCATCCACAAAGAAAATGTTCTGCATCTGACTTTGGTGACTGGTGGCTGAGTTCTTAAAAGCTCACGGTCGTGGCCAGCTACGGTGCAGCCACGGGTCTCTCTGTGGCCAGCCACAGTGCAGCTATGGGTCTCTCTGTGGCCAGCTACGGTGCAGCTACGGGCCTCTCTCTGGCCAGCTATGGTGCAGCTACAGGTCTCTCTGTGGCCAGCTACGGTGCAGCTACGGGTCTCTCTGCATCCGGAGGAAAGAAGCGTGGAGAAAATGGAAGACTCGTGGGAACAAGTGGTCCAACGGACCACACAAATATGAGCTTCCATGATCCAGAGACCAGAAGAGCTAGATGGTGCCTGGCTACCACGGCCAACTGTTGTGAAAGGAATCACATTCGAAAGCCTTGGCTCGAGTGTGAGAAAACTCAAAGCCATCAAAACAGAAAGACTAGGCTTTCTGGTTGGACAGAGACTGGTGGAAGTCCAAGACCTTCATCCCCATTTAGGCCTCAAAATGCAGCCACTCCGCCGACGACGGCTCCGTTGTTAGCCAAACAACAGACAACTCTATACAGGGACCAATAAACCCTACTCACCGCCCTCCAGCCAATGCTGGCTCACGGTGACCCTCTGTGGGTTTCGGAGACTGTAACTCTACACCCGACCCATAACCACGCCATCACCAGGGCTCCTGGAGGAGAACAAGAAGAACACTATGGAATTGGGCCCTTCGATAGTCAACCATTGAGATCAGTGGGGCAGCAATTAGCCAAAGAGAGAGTGCAAAGGGGTTAGAAAAGGAGGTGTGGAAATGGGAACCCCTGGGAGGAAGTGGGATCCACTCTGCTGCCTTGTAGGGATTGCAACCCAAGCTGTGGAACACACTGTGTATGATTTGTTGGATGGAAAATGGATTTGCTCAGTCAACCTTCAGCCAATGTACAATAAAAAAATTTCTTTTCTTTTTTTTTTTTTAAACTGGAGTCGGGATGGACTGAGGAGGGTTCGACCAGGTCTCATGGTGTCTGACAAAGTCACTCCCACTTCTTACAACTGAGCTTGACCTTGAGGACCCAGCTTCACAGTCACCACTGTTCTTGACCTTCAGAGTCCTCTGGGCTCTCCTCCCACCAGCAGAAGCGACCAGTCCTTCCTGTGTTCCCCAACCCACCCACGTACACAGCCCCCCTCCCTTTGTCTCAGGCAGGGGTTTCCCAAACAGATGCTGAGTGGAGACTCTGTGGGTGACCAGTGGGGGAGGAGAAAACAAATCAGGAAGGGAGAGGTGGGGCGGGGTGCTAAGCAAAGTCCCCCATCCTATGACAAGGCAGGAAACTGCCTTGACCACCTCCTCAGGGACCTCAGCAAGGTGTATACGTCCCACTGGACCTGGAGTCTGGGGTTTGCTGGCAGACATTGCCCTAGAGCTGCGCGGAGAGGAGGTAAATTTCCAGACACTCCAATTTCCTAGAGGCCGAAGTCCACACTCCCCACAGCCCCCATAGACTCTGGGAAATGTCAGGAGAGGCCAGTCCCTGGAGAAGGATGTCATGTTTGGTGCAATAGAGGGGCAGCGAAAGAGGAAGGCCCTCAACGAGGTGGATGGACACAGTGGCTGCATCAAGGGACGCAAGCACAGGAAGATGCAGCAGTTACATAATCTCGTGTCCACTTGAAGGTGTGAGGGAAGGGGTGGAGTTTAGCCTGTCAATCAGGTCACAGCTTGATGATGCCTCCTTGTGGGAGTGGCCTTCTCCTAAGGAGGGTTCTGGGAACCTTCCCCCTCTCTCTCTGCCTTCACGTTCCTGTTGAGCAGCCAGGCTAAGATCTGTGCGAGCCCTGGAGAAGGCATCTACTGCCATTGGATCCACAAGACTTTGCACCCACCGGCCGGTGATGTTCCTGCCTCCTGCATCATGGCTTGTGGCTTCATGAGTCTGAAGAGGGACTTGTGGACTAGTGTCAGACTTGTGGACTTGATCTGGACGGGGCTGGCATGTTCGCTTGATGTATCATTGCTTCTTGTTATAAAGCTCTCTCTTACACATATGTGTGTGCGTGTGTGTGTGTGCCACTGGATTTGTTGCTCTAGTCTACCCAGCCTATCACACATAGGAACTGTTGTGAAGATGGCTCAGGACCAGAGAGTTTCATTCTGTTGAGCCTACGGTTGCGATGGATCAGAACTGACTCTGCGGCACGTAACTGCCACAACAACCTGGGCTAAGTCATGTAGAACCTGCGGGCACAGGCCCCACTGTTGGGTCCAGGAGAGCCGGTGGAATCAGAGGGGATCCAGGGTCACTCTGCCAGTACCTGGAATCATCGATATGCACACTTGATCATTCATCAGTCTCCCCTCTCAAAGTTCGCCGGAGCCTGGTACATGCGCACATCTTATTAGAGTTTGAGGGACATCAGTTGCTCTGTGGTACAATCGCCACCTTCCATGTAGGACACACCCATGTTCGATTCTCACCAATGTACCTTGTATGCAGCTGCCACCTGCCTGTCCGTAGAGGCTTGGGTATTGCTGTGCAGCTGACCAAGTGTCAGCCGAGGTCCTCGACTAAGACAGACCAGGACAGAGGTCTAGCCATCTACTTCCAGATAAACCAGACAATGAGAACCATCAGGAACTCAATGGCTGTTGTTCTGTTGTGCGTGGGATCTTCAGGAGATGGGGGCCAACCACAAATACAAGTGGGGTGCACAGATGAATGGAAGGAAGAGAGAAAATGGGGCTGACTTTATACCTGCTTCCTGCTGAAGAAGCAGAGGTGAGGTAGTTAGCTTATTGTGCCAACCTGGCTGATAAACACATATGGGGTTAATTGAAGGGCAGAATGCTAAATGGCTGGGTGAGCCTTGCCGTTTGAGTTCTCAGGTCTCTTGCTTTCCGATGGTTGGACCAGGGTGCAGCTGCCTTAGCCAGTTCCCTGCTTCAACTGGCAAGGCTCACTTCCTGCAAGACATCTCCAAGGAGAAGCCGCATGGACCTATCCCGATGCAGCCCTGGGTGCTGGAGCAGCCGTGTGGAGACCCCTGCTAGCGCTGAGATGCTTACACGTTCACGGATTCGGCTTTCCTCCTGCAGTCGGCATCACTGCGTGTGTTTTGTTAGATGGAGGAGGACTTGTGGATTGGTGCCGGACATATGGGTTAATGTTGGACTTGTGGGCTTGGCCAGCACTGGATTGGGATGTTTTCTTGATGTGCACTTAACCTTTATATAAAACTCTCTAATGGACCCAGACTAACCCAGGAGGTGTGGAACAGTCAGTGACTTCCTCACGACCTTACAGAGAATGAGCAGCACGTCGAGGACCTTCATCCGCCTTCTAACTGTGCCTCCAAAGCTTGTTGCAGTCACCCAGGCAGGGCACTGCCCCTACCACCCCACCCCCCAGACCTTCCTTCTTGTGTCCCCTCACAGGGACCCTATAGGGCAGGGGAGAACTGCTCCTGTGAGTCTCTGAGCCTGTCACTCTTTGTGTGAAGTAGGAAGCCCTGTCTTTCTCCCCAGGAGCAGCTGGTGGTTTCAAACAGCCGACCATGTGGATAGCAGCTCAACGCATCACCGCTATGCCACCAGGGCTCTGTGGCAGTGCCATCATCTCCTGTCAGCTGGAGGAAGGGGTAGAATCTAGCCTGTCAATCAGGTTGCAGCTTGATGACCTCATTTGGAGGTGCGATGGAGATAAATAGGTCACTGGTGGCTAGCCACACCGTCTCTGCTACACATTCCTGTGGACAAGCCACATGGAGCTATGCTGACAGAGCCAGGGCCCTGGAGCTGGAGGAGCCACGTGGAGACCCATGCCAGCACTGAGATGCTTCCACCGCCACTGGATCCATAAGACTTTCCACCCACTGGCCCGTAATCCTCCTGCATTCGGCGGCGCCATAGCATGTGTTGCGTGAGTCTGAAGAGGAATGTATAGATTGGTATCGGACCTATGGGCTACTATCAGACTGATGGACTTGATCTGGGGTGGGCTGCGATGTTGTCTTCATACACAATTGTTCTTTGATTGAAAGCTCTCTCTTGTACACATGTGAGTGTCTCTGGATTTGTTTCTCTAGACAATGATCACAGGCCCCTTGCCAGGTCCTTGCTCCTCGGGGGCTGCTGGAGGGTTCAACCCACCGCCAAGCTTTGTGGCTGGTAGTAGCATGCTTCACCCTGGTGCCACCGGGGCTTCTTAGAGCATCCAGAATAACCCCTGAATCATCTGTAACAACTTCCCCTTTTCAGACCTCAGGGGCCACCAGGATTTGCGAGGAAGCCCGAGAGGGGAAGGAGGTAGGGCCTTGGTCAGCAAACTTCCTCCCAGCCACCCCTATAAAAAGGGCAGTGGCTTCGCAAGGAACTAGTGCCCGACAGTCTCCTGCATGCCCTGCTCTGCCTCCTCTGCTCCCCAGGACATGGCAGGCCCTGTGACCCTCCTCGTCAGCCTGATGCTCCTGGCCCTCTGCACTGGCCACATCACCCTCTCCGGTAAGGCCGGGCCGCGTCCCAGTGGGGATGGTGCCGGGAGGACAGAACAGTGACAGAGGGACCGAGTCAGGCAGGAGGTGTTGCGTGCACAGGGTGGGCTTGGTTTCTGGTGACCTGGAACCTGGGGCAGTCTGGGAAAGAACTCTCTGTCCTTTAGGCCCTGTGGTCATTCCTCCCACCTGCTGCATGAAATTTGCTTCCAAGGAAATTCCCATGAGCCGCGTGGTGAGCTACCAACTGTCCAGTGGGAGCGTCTGCCCCAAGGCAGGGGTGATGTAAGTATTGCTTCTTCCAGGGAACGGCCAGGAGGGGGGCAGCGGGGAAACTTCTAGACCCCCGAGGAACAGTCAGGAGGACTCTGCTCTGTGCACGACAGGGGATGCCCCTTTCTCCCATCTGTGCCTCAGCTTCCTCCCCCATAAAACTGGGAAGAGGAGTCAGATTCGATCCCTGTTGACTGAGCACGGGAGACAGCGGTTAGGCCCTTGTTGTCGTCATTGTTAGGTGCCAGTTCCAACCCATAGCGACCCTACACACAACAGCATGAAACCCTGCCCAGTCCTGTGCCAGCCTCACCATGGCTCCTCTGCTTGGGTCTATCCCTGCTGCCACGGTGCCCACCTCACTGAGGGCCCTTCGCCCTTTCGCTGCCCCTCCACGTCACCAAACATGATGTCCTTCTCCAGGGACTGGTCTCTCCCCACAACCTGCCCAAAGCCTGTGAGATGGAGTCTTGCCGTCCTTGCCTTGACTGAGCCAAGTAACTCTGGGGCGTGTGACACGATCTTAACAAACCCTCTCAGCAAGTGTACGATGCAGACGCCCCGTGGCTGAGGCTCAGAAAAGGGGCTTGTTCAAGGTCACCAAGGTAGCTAGGTCTCCGGATCCCAAATAACCCTACGGTGAACCCACTTGGTAACAGGGACGGGCAGGAGGCAGGTGCGATTAGTATGCTAAACTCTCCCTGATGACCACCAGACTCAGGATCATAGCCTGGGTCCTCCCCTCTATGAGCGGCTCTCTCATGGAGGCCAGCCCAGCCCACTCCCATCCCTGGCATCCTTCCAGGCTCATGTCCTGGCAGAAGAGGGGGTACCCATGGCCCACGGCTTGTTCTGTTCACCCCTCCTCCCCCACCATGGGTAGAGCTTGTATCTCTGCCGTCAGACTCAGCATTTTCTAAGGCCAAGTGGAGCCTCCCTGCCCTCCCCAGCTTTACAGGGAATTTGCTGACCACAAACTCCTCATCTCCCCCCCACCCCATTTTCCTTCCCAACGCTGACGCTAGGAGCCAGAGTCACCCAGAGAGAAGACACTATGTCCTTCCTTGCTGGGAGACCTGGGCATGGGGCTGGCCCCACAGCTCTCACACCTCCCTGTAAGATGAAGAGGGGGGTCCTTGCTGAGTCTCAGGCATGCCTGATCATTCCTTCTCCCCACAGCTTCACCACCAAAATAGGTCGTAAGGTCTGTGCGGACCCCAAGCAGTCCTGGGTCCAGAGTTACGTGAAGCACTTGGAGGCCAAGCAAAAGACCTCCCTGAGCACCAAGGCAACGGGCAGAAGATCCCAGACCCGAAGACACCCTGCCAACGGCACCACCATCTAACCCTGCTGGCCTCCAGCCCCGGACCCGGGCCTCTCCCCCAGCATGGGCTGCCTGAGGCCTGGGGAGCCTGCACGGACAGGTGAAGGGCTGATTTTCCTGCTTCTCTGCACCATTCTCAGAGCAGGTGTTGACTCCATGAAAAGCCAAGGCAGGCAAGGCCTGCTCCCGGAGCACCCAAGGCCCCTTGTCTGCCCTGGACGGAGACTGGGCTTGCCTTCCCCTGAGAAGAGGTGGGGCTACTTCTCCTCTGGCTCCCCCGGGGGGGGCGGGGGGGCAGCTCAGCCCAGGCTCCTGAGGCCTGGACCCTGCAGACACCAGCCTGCCTATGCCATGGCCTCTGATGGCTTTCATCAGCCATTGGGCGGGCAGTGGGGCCTCAGGGCTGCCTGTCTGTCTGGGGACGGGTGACCTATTGAGGGCTGCACCTCCCTGGCATGTTGGGGACATCCCAGCCTGGTCCCACTTCCAACTCTCCCAGGTTGCCAATGGCAACAGCGGGCCCTCCCTGGCCACTTCTCATGGGGCGCGCAGGCTTTGGTAAAGCCCTGGACACGGACCGTGTGGGTGAGGGCCAGCCTGGGGAATTTGAGTCCTTTGTGAAGATATGACCTGGAGATGCCTGTCTGGTGACGCGCTTGCTCCGTGATGCTTCGTTGGTGTGGAGGGTGGGGCTTTCCTGCGTGTTTGGGCGAGAGGAAGGGTGGGGGGTCGCGATGGAGGGGGGAGAGGAAGCCTGCCTTCTGGCCCCAGGCATGGGAGAGCGTGAGCTTCGTGTGGCAAGAGCGGGAACGCCTTGCTGCTCTCCTCACAACCTAGTAAAGACGATTTCTCCTCTGACCGGCCGTTTCTCTCCTGTTCTCATCTCCAGCGGGGGAAACGGAGGAGGGTTGGGTGGGAACCATGGAGCACGTATCCTAAACCAGGGTCCTGGGGGCACGTGGCCACTGGAAGCTGGGAGGGGTGAAGGCAACATGAGCCCAGAACATCCTCAGAGTGCCCTCGATCTGTCGACTAACTTTGAGACTCACCCACGCACAGACCGGTCCCATTCAAGTGTTTTGACCACTCCACCAGGAAGTGTTTTCTCTACACAAGAGATGCATGAACTAGTAATGCAAGAAATAGACGAAACTCATCGTTGACAAGTGTATTCCAAGGGATGGCGACCTAGGGCCTTCTTCACTGTAATCTTGGCAGAAATAGAGAGCCAAGTCTGTCATCATGACACCACTGAGTGGGTTTGAATCACTCACCTTTAGTTGGTAATCAAGGGCAAGTCATTGTGCCCAACCTAATCATAGACCTAGACCTAGCCAGAACCCTAATCCAACCCTAGCCCTAGCC